TAGATTCCTCTGCTGAGAGATTAAGATGCACTGCTGGGAAGGCCCGTAAACATACGTCCGTTCCTCGTGATGGCCTTTCTGCAACTCTTTCATTTTACTCCAAAACTGCACAAATATCACATCTGATAGGCGCACTCGTTCAATTGCTCTTATGATCAGTCAGAAATGTGTTGACAAGGCGAGTGGCAAATCATCCACTGATGCTCATAATATCCACTTTTCATCGTTTGTTAAGTGTGTTTAAATTGTCGATTGCTAACTGAGGGTTATTTATCGGTTTGCGTTCAATAAACGAACGGATATAAGATGTCCGTTGATCTGTTGAGGAAATCGTTAAGTTTTATTGAAGAAGGTAGGTGTGCCATGCATTTATCCATTTTGCTGCATGAGAATTCATTCGTTGTATGTGTTTAAATGGGCTTGAAATACAACTGCTCTAAGCTTACGTTACACACCATCTCTGATTTATCAGAATCTCTGGTTTTCAAGTGCAAAATTTTCGTTTGAATAATTTATTCAAAGCCGTAGGCTGAGTTCAAGGTTACAGTCAGTCCACTAGACGCCTAATGCATTTTTTTTTCGGATTCATTCGAATCCCACGGTGTCATTTCAACCTGATTCTTTACTTTAGAGGATGGCATTTCGGCGAGTAAAAAGCTGAAAAGAGTATCTCGGATATCACCAGAAATGCGAGAACGACAACGTATCAGGGCATTAGCTGGTCATCTGGAATTCGACTGTGATAGAGGTGATTTCGTTGAAGCCACGAATGCGAAACATTCAAATTCGATCAAGAATGAATGGACTCCCAAACCGGTGAGCATTCTGATGTGTTGTTTCGGCAATCTCAAATATAATTGAAATTGGAAGTGATGTGCTAATCCTATTAAACTATTTTTCGTGACCGTACATCGAGCTGAGGGAGTGTGAAAAAGTCACTTCGAAAGGGAATTTCTAACTACCCTTTCTTTATCACCTCGTCGAATTTAATTCAAAAAGTGAATGAGATCTGTCGATGACTCGGCAGTTTGGATGATTTTTTTGAGTGCCAGAGAAAGTTCTTCGAACCTCGATTCTCCCCT